AAAATACAAGACAATTCCATTTTTTTCAAGAGGAACTACATGTCAAATTTAAATTTTATAACTTCAGCTCATGTGGCTTGTAAACTTTTCCCACAAACTTGTTGCTAAGTTGAATATATTTGTAAAATCCAAACTACCAATAGTCTTTTTTCCTTTTGTATATAGGAATGTTTCAGTATAAAAGTTGGCATCTTTTTCTAATTTCTATATTAATCTTTTACAGGCAAACAACATGGGTGTTGGTGTAGTTGGGGTTATAGAATGTAACTTCCTAAAACCAACTCATAATAAACAAGATTTTGATTATACCAATGAATACAGGTGAATATATATGTATTTTATCTAGACATATTATAAAATGGGTTTACAGTGGGTGTATTAAATACTTTTCCTAGCATGCTATTTCCTAGCTATAAAATGTCAGTTTTTTTTTCCTAAGTATTGGATAAGTACTTTGTAATCTGAAATTGTCATGAAATACTACCACCACTTTGGAAGTGCTACCAAATTGAAAACAAAGGCAGTTAATTCTGTTTTAAAAAGTTACTTAATCTTTCAAACACCTTCATGCTTTTCTCTTTAAATGCTTCTTTCTATTGGTAGAGTTAACTGGCTGAAAAGCTGAATTCATATGCTGTATGTGTATTTGAGGGAGGCGTGAGGTGAGAAATGAAAACAAATAATTGCCAAGTTAATTTATTAGCTATTGTGTGTTCTTTAATAGTAATATCTGCAAGAAAAGTTTTATACTTTGTCATCTACATCTGAAGATACTTTGGAGTTGCTATTTTTCCTTGTTTTTTACATGCAAAGATAATTAAGTAATTGACTTATTGGAGAGTGTATTTAAGGAGTCTAAAAATTAATGCCATAGTTAAAGCTGTAAATTAGTAATTTGTCCATTTTAAAAGTAAAAGTTGACTCATCCTTTTTAAAATTCTGCGATACAGCTTTCCTGTTTCTCTGCCAGGCTGAGCAATATCAATCACCTGTAACGGAAGGAAATGGATAGGTCATTAGAATGGGAATTCTGTTAAATCTTTGAGAGATTTGGCACATGAACCAGAAAGTAAGCAGCTCAGATTGCTCAGCAGCGTAGGGTTGTGGTAACTGTGGGATTTGGAGCTGCTCTGTAATAATTTATGAATAGTGCATGTTGACCTGATTGGGATGGTTTTTGTATGGATACAGTGGTTTAGTATAATGTGGGGGTGAACGGAGAACAAGCAGGAAGGGAAAAAATGGCTCAAGATAAGCCACTTGTCTCGTAACTACACAAGTGTTTGACAGTTCCAGGACAGAAAAAGGCTTTTGATCACTGGGATCAAAAACTCAAAAAGAACACTCTTGAAAGAGGGAGGGTAGCTCTTTAGGGGAACCAGACTAAAACCCTGGATCCTTCTGAGGGTATCTGAAGAAGTTAGGCCTGCTTAGCTTACTTCAGTGAAGAAGTACAGGTACCTGAACTCACTTGTACCTGTTAAGTAACTACAGTTGATCCACAGGATACTGTAGTCCAGGGCCTGGTCTCAAGAATTGGAGAATTGCAGAATCCCACCTATTGACAAAAGGACAATCGTTTGATTACGCTCATGGTTAAATGTTCAAGAGACCAAATAACCAAACTTACCCAAATTTATTGTCTAAAGACAAAGCAGTACAATACGTGAAGGAGACATACATGCCTTCTTTCTGGGAAGCAATTCTTGCACAGAAAATGTGCTTCTAAGATAGCTTATCAGTTAGTAATCAGGAAGTTTAAACTTGAAATGAGATGAAGGTTTCTAACCATCAGAGGAGTGAAGTACTGGAATAGCCTTCCAAGGGGAGCAATGAAGGCAAGACATATTTGGCTTCAAGACTAAGCTTGGTAAGTTTATGGAAGGGATGGTATGATGGGATAGTCAAAGATCAATTGCCAAAATTAGACTATTAGCGGTAAATATGCCCAATGGCCTGTGATGGGACACTAACTAGGGTGGGATCTCAGTTACTACAGAGAATTCTTTCCCGGGTGTCTGGCTGGTGAGTCTTGCCCACATGCTCAGGGTTTAGCTGATCGCCATATTTGGGGTTGGGAAGGAATTTTCCTCCAGGGCAGATTGGCAGAGGCCCTGATGGTTTTTCGCCTTCCTCTGCAGCGTGGGGCACGGGTCACTTGCTGGAGGATTCTCTGCACGTTGAAGTCTTTAAACCACAAGTTGAGGACTTCAGTAGCTCAAACATAGGTCAGGGGTTTGTTACAGGAGTGGGTGGGTGAGATTCTGTGGTGACCTGCGTTGTGCTGGAGGTCAGACTAGAAGATCATTGTCCCTTCTGACCGTAAAGTCTGAGTCTGAGTAATATTTGTAGTATGATTTTACAAGTTACAAAGCTTTTTACACATCACTAAAATCCAATCCATCCGTTTGTAACAGTTCTTTAACTTGTTTTGTTCTATTCTTATTTCTGATTTGACTAGTACTTTCCAAACCCAGTTGGGTGAAGAGGTGCATCCCAATCTGTACTAGGACCCACCACTCTTTGTATTTTAACTTAACAGGCTTCCTGTTTTCTAATGGCAAAGCTGACTTCAGCTTTGCAAAATGTTGTGATCTTCTGGACAGAATTGTGGGGAGAGCATGATATATTCAGTTAACATAACTTCCCAACACTTTTTGTATATGTAAACAAACTGTGTGGATAATATCTGTTAATGGAATGTATGCAGTCTCTAATATATTTGTATTGACTAACACGCCACAAGATAGGTAAAGGCACGAGGCCTAACACATGAGGGGGTTGCATTCAAAGAGACCAGATTGGGAACAGAGATTTGGGTAATCCTTCACAATGACAGTAACTTTCTCAACTTTTATCTAAAATTGTGCTGCTTATATTTATTAAACAGTGGATATATATTTTTCTCTCATTTGAAGAGTTTGGGAGACTTCAGAAATAATTCACTTAACTGACAGGTGAATGGTAAATATCTAATGAAAAATATTGAAATAAATTTAATACACTAGTACAATTTTATATGAAGTAGTGTTATCTTATCCGCCCTCCCCCCACCACCACCTTTCCAAAGACACCTAGCTTTTGTGTATCTGCTCCCATCACCCTATGAAGTCTGCTTTTTTTGTCCTCCCTTAGGCTTCAACCCTGCAACTGAATATGTTCTGGAAAACCTGTGTCTGCATGTAGGGGCTCTGTTGACTTTGGTTATGATGTCAGCTCTATTCCTCCTCTACTGCCTATTCTTTGTATACCCATAATTGTTCCTACTGGTCTCGTCTGTATTTTCCGTTAGACAAGTATTTTCATTTTACAGGTCATGTTTGGTCTTGTAGAATCCTTTGTTCATTTGGTCCAAATCCATCCTACTTAATTCATGTACTATAACTTTTGCTCTGCCTTGCTTATTCCCATGTCTTTGCCTCTTCAGTTCACTGGCTTCTTATCCATTTTGCTCTGCTACTTACTCCTGCCTTCCAGTTTGCTTCCTTCCTTCATGTCATGATTCACTTTTTTGTGGCTGTCTACATTTGTGTGTTTCTTTCTAGAACTCTCTTTGGAACATTCATTTGCTCTTCTTTTTCTGACTTTAAATCTTTAAATCCGATCTCAAAACTTCTCTTCCTCTCTAAGTCTGTTGTGATCTTGCTGAGGACTTTTGCATGTGACTTGATGACTATCCAAGATTGTCAAATAACAGGCTCAATTGGAATTGATTAATCATAGATGTTCAATCAGAGCAGGGCCGGCTCTAACTTTTTTG